ATATATATATATATATATATATATATATAGGTAATTGTATATTTTCATTTGTTATTAAATACTACTCCAAATAGTATCTTATTATATTTATCAAGGCTTTCTATTATAAGTTTAGTAGTGCTCAGTTTACACCCAGGGCTCGTTCTGAGTAATGCTCGGTCTTACACTAAGCGCTCGTACTGAGTAGTGCTCGGTCTCAAACCAAGCGCTCGTACTGAGTAGTGCTCGGTCTTATACCAAGCGCTCATACTCATTTCTTTTATAATCTATCTTGATGAAAATAACGTTCGTTCAACTTCAATAAAGTTTTCTCTTTACCGTGCTCGGTCATTGACTGACATTCGGATTTCTTGACGTAAATTCAAATAAACTAAGTATTTATCAGCGTTCGGTTTCTTCATGTGAATTCTTCTAAGTATTATTATTGGAATGTCTTGAAGTGTCTGTATCGATTGGTTTCGGCCAAGAGTCCTAGTACTTGACATGGTCTTTTCAGCGTTCGGTTGGGGCTCTCAAGAGTCAGTTCATCTAATTGGCTCACTTTGTAAGTAACATGCGTTCTATTCGTTCTTGTGATATATATAGTTGTACTCGGTTTCTTTCTTAACCCGACTGTAATCCCTCGTGGTCTTAATCTATTCTGGAACTGGAGACCTCTCTGTCTCGTTCCAAGTGTGCATTCTCTTCTGAGTGAGGATTGAACGTTCGGTATCTGGTGTCCTTAATAATCTTTGAACAAAGATGAAATTGAAATGATTAATAATGAAAGATGATATTGAGATGATTGATAATGAAAGATGAAATTAAGATATTGATAATGAAAGATGAAGAGAATATGATATGGATGGAATGTGTTGGATTATGGACGAGCGTTCCGAGGAGGAACGACTCATGGTTGAATATTGGAATTGGTAAAGTATGAATGTGGTCATGCTAAGCTGGTGGTTCATCTTGATGTTCCGTGAGTACTCGTCCTCACGTAGAGGAGGGTAGGTCATGTGTGGGAACGGCAGGAGGTCCTAGTCCTTATGGTTAATTTGGACAGATAGGACTAACCTCGGGTGAAAGCTGTTAAGGGTATCCCAGTTACTACATCACCCAGGTGCACGAACGCCTGTAGCTACACAGATTTCATACCGTCCGAACAGTCGGTTTAGTATTAGGCTTTGTATGAAACGTATGATGAAATATATTTTGTGTGTTTGATTGTGTGAAATGTATGGTTATACATGAATTAAATTACATAAGCTTACCCTGTGTTTCCTGTCTTGTCTTGTTTTGTACGTTCGTCTTTGTCATTGCAATGATCATCCGTGTGGATGTGAGCAGAAGGAGACGAGCTGCTGGAAGAGGTGCTGGAGGAAGAAAACCTAGTTGAGGTTGAAGTTAAGACTGAACAGTAAGACGTTCGGTCAGTAGTTTAGTTGATTGAAAGGTGGTTGTTCGATCACCTTCCCTTTTTGTTTAGTATGACCGTTCGGTATAGGCTTTTGTAAATCGTTCGGGCAGAATTTACTTATGGCGTTCGGTTTTAATTTCTGGTCTTTATGTAAGGTCGTTCGACCAATACCGTACGCTCTTCTTAGTGTAAGACTGATCTGTATATTATTAAATGTGATTATTCTATTATATAGTTTCAAGATGTATTTTTGGGATGTTACAATGTTTAATTAAAATTTTATATTTTATATTGAATTTGGACACCGTGTAATGCAAGTAGGTAAATTTAATATAATAAAATGTTGGACGTTAATTACACATTTATTACTTTGACATTCAAACCAAACTAACTTTAGTATAAGAGAACCTTTGATAGGTACTCATCGATCAATATTGTTGAACAAAAGCTTGAAGCAAGGACGGTTAGACAATCGATCATTATAAAAAGTTTGATCAATGCTACTTACCAAAACATATACATTGTAGCATGACTTTGGCAAACCTTGAAAAGAAATATGGTACACCGTAGACTGCAACATGCATTGAGATAGGAAACATGCAATGGAAGAGAGATGTGTGTGTTGAGAGGCAAAGAGGTGTCTAAAGAGACATTTAAGATGGAATGACTCCTTATGAAAATTTCAGTACAAATCATTGTTCATGATTTGTTTTGTTAATGATTTATAACTTGTCTTCAGGTTTGTGTATGTTCAATATAATGAAAACTATGTATGGGAATAATCTTCATTATGCTGAATATACACATAGGGCTCTATTTATAATAGAAGATATATGGATTTAGCCTAGATTACAAATAAGAAATAATAACAAACTAATTAAAGATAAAAGATAAAGATAAGATAAACATAATATATCTAACACTCCCTCTCAAGCTAGTACATACAAATCGTATGTATCAGGCTCGTTACTAATATAATTCATAAAGACTTAGTGAAAATATATGTTTTTGCACTCAAGTGACACCAAATTAACCAAATTGTTAATGATTTACTAACACGACATAGAAGACAAAATTTGTGAACGAAAACTTGTCAATAACCTTCCTGCATACACAAACTTGTCAGGTTATAGTGTGAAAAATCACATAACAAGTCCAATTTGTGAACAAAATACATGAACATGGGAGAAAAGTAATTTATCTTCAACATCATAGATTTCTAAATCATTTCATTTGTATCATAGATTGAAAAATGTCTTTAATGAATGAACAATCATTGGATGAAAAAGAATTAGCCTTTACTCAAGAAGCGTGAACAAAGTATTTCCTTCTTAGATATAAGAATATAGAGAGATTGAGTTAGAG